CTGCTGGGCATTCAATTTTATTTTAAAAGCAGAAGTACTGTTTACCATTTAAAAACAAGGACCAGAATTTTACAAAATGTCCCCAAGTCTAGACTGCCTATTTACAGATGCCCTTGTCTAACCCCTTGTTTTAACGGTGGCTGATTGCTTACTGTTCCTGGTATTTCAGGCTGGAACTGTACAAGGTCCATGAATCAATGAATGAAATCCTTGCTGTTTTAAAGCAGGTGTGCCAAAACTGTGGATACCTCTGAATATTTGAAGCAAAATCAAGAACTGGATGGCATCCTCCGAAACACTTAGCTTTGGCCCTTCTCTGCTCCTGCTGAGTAGAGCAGGATAAATAACACTATCCAAAGAAGATTGGCCAACATGAAATGGTTTTGAAAATTTCACTTCACCAGCACAATGTGGACTCTGATAACAAAAATAATGTCCAAAATTTCTGAAAATTAACCTGGAATACTAACCAAATTTTTTTCTGTAGTTTATAAAGCATCACTGTTGTCTTATTTTAGAGAGCTCCCAACCATGCTTGCTTCCAAGGTACTAACTAATAGCATTCCTACACTACATTTAGTGTACACCCATATTCAGAATGTGTGTGGTATAAGCCTTTCATTCAGAAGTGGTACAGTTCAGCATTATACAACAGAGTCTCTCAGCATACACTGAAATCACCTTGGTTTAGCAATGACCCTTAGTGGATGACAAAGTCAGCCTCTGCAGGAGGTAACCATAGTTCAGACAGGCACCCAAATCTTCTAGTAAGGAGTAGCAGTCCCAAATTCCCACTGAAGACCCCTCAGATTTTCTTAACTCTTGTGAAGATGTGATCTCTGTGCTGAAGGCAATGGGTCAAACCCTCACAGCTGTGGCATTATAGACATGTGTGAGACGAACAAGAGCTGCTAGCAGGGGAGTGGGATAGGAGGTGAACTTCCCATCCTGAATCTACAAATGATGCCTTGGAAGCCACTCTGTACTGCAGTGCTGGTCAGGAAGCAGGCTGAGAGCGGATTCAGCATGTGTCTGCTCATGTTCCCTTGTCTGCTCACTTGTTCATCATGTGCACTCCCACACAGCTTATTGCACTGACAATAGAAATCAGCTGTGCCTCTATGAGGGGCCGAGGGGGTGGCTGCACATTTGGCAGTGTGCTGAGCACATGCACATTTGCTTGTGTAGCCTATATTCTGTTTCAAGTGATGTTACCACAAAAGCAATCGCTGATCCCACTTGGCAGTGCATGTGTCATGGTATACTGCAGCAAAAAGTACAGCTTTCCTGGCTTTCCTAAGTGATTTCCCCTTGTGTTTCTCCAAACACAGCTTTAATAATTCACTGGTAAATGTCAGATAATTCATCCATATTTGTCCGTCCTATAGAATTCCTCAAGAGTTTATGGACTTCTTCAAAATACAAACATCTTTGGGTCCCCATGTTTCACACATGACAAATAGAAAAGAAGACAACAATGGGAAAATGATCTTCTGGCAATTCAAATGCCACTAGAGTCTGTGTGGCTTCCTGTGACAGTTCTGTTAATCTCTCTTTTAGTCTCTTCCTCCACCTCTTACAGGCTTCTGTCTTCAATCTCCTTTCCTTCCTTGCTAGTTCATACTGTAACTGACGATGGGTTTTCTTCTCGACTGGGTTCATTTTTGCTGTTCTTCCAGGAGAAAAATCTATTACCTGCACCGCCGATTCAAGTTCATGAATAGGTGAGTACAATTCTCGTGCCAGCCCAGTTTGTGTTCATTTAGATCCCATAACAAAAATAGTGGTTAAAATTAAGCTGGAAGGAAAAGTTTATTAGCTGTGTTGGTAGGAAGGATGAAGAGAGTGATTAGACATGAGGACATCTGAAAAAAAAAACCAACAGAAAAGCCCCATGAGTTGCATTTTCAAGGCACCTGCAATGTGAAAGAGACAACTCATTTTATCAGCATTGCCATTTTAGGACTAAGGAAGTATTTTTCAATTGATGGAGTCTTTACAGAAAAATAAGTACGTTAATGCAAACACTGTATCCCTTTCTTTTCATGTAGATCATTAGGGAGTTTCTTGGGGTTAGAGTACCACAGTTACAGCTTTATTTTCATTGCCATGCACCTTGTTTATGTGTAATAGTGATGGCATTATTTATTTATTACTTCCTTTGTGGGGATGCTTAGTACTTTGTTGGTAGATAGGAAGGCAGTGACCCAAGTTCATCTCTGGTGTAACATTATTGAGCTTGAGCAACGAATATTTCCAAAGAATCTTTGAAGTGCTTTCACTCAATTATTAAATATCTTTAAGGCTATGTTTGATGCTCACTTTATGTGTGACTTAATGCACTGAAACACTTTCAGTGCTGCAGTTTGCATTTTCTTTTTGATACCTCTCCAAAATGCCTAAAAAATATACAGGTTTGGCAAAGACCAGATCATATGTTGGCATTTAATGCCACAGTGCTGTTGGTGCAGTTTTCAAAGTGGTCTAGCATTTGATTTCCTGTGTCATGCTGAAGTAGTCAGAAATATTTCTGATATTCCCAATTTGAAACATCTGCATTTTGGAGTGAACAGCTGTATCACTTTGCAGATAATTCATTGCATTAAGATCCATGGGAAAATAAATCACATATTATCACTCTGTTGTATGAGCATGTTAAAAAGCATTTTGCATATTAAATTATGTCACAGTGTGCTGGTGACTTGACAGTACCAACATTGATCTCACATTATATTATTTGCTTATTTATATTAGTAAGCACCAAATGAGTGCTTGGTGGAGTTAAGGCCTTTCACCTCTGGCACAGAGTAATGGATGCACACAATTCTTCTAAAACTTGTTGATGCTCCCCTGCTTTCCATTCTCACCCTACAATAAATGCTATAGTGGCTGTTAACTTTGGAATTTTTCTTGAATTTAATTAAGGCTTAGCTGCTTTGACTGAAGCAATAGATAGGAAGGAGTAGGTGAAGATTCTAATATTTATATGTGGTCTATGAAATTTTGCTTCACATTCATTTTCTTATGAGTCAGGATGCAATTTGAGGTCAGTATGGGAAGAGGTATAATCTTTTCTGGTATTTAGTTCCTGAGTGATAAGAACACTTGGCTAAATTCAATTTTTATGTTCAGATCTCTAAATTGCTACTTGAGGCAGAAAATCTATAACTGAATAGTCCCAGTGGGAAAAAAGAAACATATTCAGCTTTATCTTCACTTACGTGAAACTTAGACATACAGCTTCAATAAACGTGTCTATTTCCTCTACTTCTAGTTCTGTGTAGATTACAAATACTTGAAGCCTTTGTCCATTTTTTGAGCTAAGACAAATATTATATTGACAATTGGGCAAACATTTTGTTAGAGAGGTCTTTTGTCACAAGGCAAAGCCCAGAGCAGGTCTCTCTCAACTTGTCAACCTGACTTGTATTTCCTCTCTGAAAAATTCTAGTAATCTCAAAGCTTCAAATAACAAAACTTCCCTAATATATTTTAAAGGAAAGGAGTGGTATCAGGTACCTATAAAGCACCTGTATTGTGGTTAAAAACTAAATTGATACAATATCTAGTGCTGCAATATGCATAAGGTTCTATGAAAGCTGATCCAAATAAAAATCAGGCTCCCTGGAGGTTTTCAAGACGAGACTGGATGTGACATTTAGTGCCATGGTCTAGTAACAACGGTACGGTTGGACTCGATGGTCTTTGAGGTCTCTTCCCTTCCAACCAATTCTGTGTTTGTTAGCACCAATACCACTCTTGCAGGCTTTTTCTTTTGAGAGATGCTCCTGTGGAGCACAAATCCTGCTCTGCTGACTGATGGCACTGTTGGAATGAGCTGAGGCAGTTTAAAAATTTGGACATTTTTCTTTTCCAAGGAGATAACTTGAGGCGGGGGAGGGAGTATTTTCCCTAGCAATGATTGTACTGCATGTTCTGTGCCTTGCAGAGAGGTTTAGCAACCTTCTCAGACCTGTTTGCCAGCAGGATCACTGAGTATGCCAAGTAATCTGAGTCTTGGGAATGACAAGCCACTCAAATTCTGGGTACACTCAGTGAGAAGCCAACATGAATAATGCATTGCTCTTAAGTGGGGAAAGCACTCTGTGCCTCTGTTCGTGCTTGTGTGCTGTGATAAACCTGCAGTAGGCAGTATCTCAAATGTGCACATTGACTTTCAGGATGAATGGGAAAGGATTTCAGATTGGTAAGGATGTTCAATAGCTTAGAGAATTCAAAGGATTTCAGTTAATAAACATGGAACAGGATATTTATAAAAACCTTCTTCCTGATTCCTTTTCCCTTTTCCATACCCAGACACACTAAGCCTGTTGAATATACAGTAATGCAGCTTGTGGCATTTACAGAGGAAAAAGTGGAGGCAGAAGGCAGGGATTTCCTCTGTAGAGAACTTACTTTTCCTTGGCATTCCTATCAGTGACTATACACACAAGCTCAAGGCTGTCAGGATGAATGCTGCAGCTGGAGAGTTACGATTGTTCAGGCCCTTTACAGCCCTGGGATCTGACATCTCACCTTCATTTGGCATGTACATTTGCAAACTACCTCCTCCTGTGCTCCAAATTGCTAGGTCAGCGGAAACTCTAACCATGAAGAGTTTATGATTAATTTAGTGCAAATCTTATGTTATATATAAACATATAATATATATATATATGTGTTCTTCCAAACAGTCCTGATGATAAATTTGCACGTACACACAACACCCACCCCAACCCTCCCCGCTATGCTATTCCCAAACTGAAAATACACAAATGGGACCAAAACAGGTAGAGTTGATTTGGTAACAAATTTGAAATGTACACATGTTTAAAACTGAGCATTAGCTTTCTTATCCCAGATAAAAATACCTGGTGGGAGAAGGTTGAATATTCCAGGAAATAGAATAGAAAAGAAGAAAGAAAAAAAGAAAAAAAAACCCACCCACAACAACCAAGGCAAGCAAAGAAACCCATATTTCCAGACCTTGAGTGTCATCCAGAACAGAACTTTAAGTTCAAAGGAAGTAAATTCTTGACCTTTTGTTCTATTTTTTGAAAGGTTCATCCCGTGACTGAAGTACATGCATAGTCCATAACTTGTAGTCTGTGCTTTTTATAGCCAGGGATCACTGTTTAGGGCTTGAGGTTGTTAGAAACTTCTGAGAGAGTAGGGCTCCTTGTACCAGACATAACTCATCTTTCTTAGATGTTTTTCATTATAACCTTTCAGTTTGGATTTGAATTTAGTTTAGATTGTCTTCTCCAATCAGCTCTGATTCTTCCATTCATTTCAGTGTGCATCTTTGCATGAGTGCACTTGTAGTTAAATCTGCCCTTTCTCTATCTTGATCGTGGTTTGCTTTCATCTTTTAAATGTAAGAATCTGCATAGCAGTCACCTGTTAACCTACACACCAAGTATTCTGGTTTCATGGAGGTTGTAGTACTGCAAGAAACTACAACTGAATCAAAACAACAAAGTAGCCTATTTTTTATTAGCATCAATTGCAAGGTAAGAAACTGTACAGAGAACGGTAAAGGGATGCAACTTTCTGAGGCTTAGCTGCCAAAGATCTCTGTCACAGTCTCCACTGTTCTAATGTTTAGATGTCCAAAATCTAATGTGTCGATTAAGCCTGAAATTTAAACTAACTGGAAAGGTGAGAAATAAAGGTTTAGAGAAATGCCAAATGCTTATTGAGCAAAATCAGGTTTACAGCAGCATGTACCATCAGCATTGCTTTTCTGTTGAGACAAAATCAGATGTTCCTCTGTGAATGCTAGTTATTAATAATCAAGTTCAAGATGTATAGTTTGGTCTGCCTCAAAAAACATCAAAAGACATTGCATCTTTTCTAGCTGTAAATACTAAGTGCCTGGTTTGACAGCACGTGCTCTGTAATGTAGTGCAAAAAACATTATCTCAAATGCTCACACCTTTCATGTGCTGCAGGATCGAGAAACAAATAAGCAGGTTCCAAGGATGGTTACCCAAAAAGCCAATGAAACTGGACAAGGAGACACTTCCAGATCTGGAGGAGAATGACTGCTATACTGCTCCATTCAGCCAACAAAGGATCCATCAGTGAGTATTTTACTATATCTCAATTGCAAGATGAAAACATTTCCTTCTGGATTTTCCTCAGAACTAATCTATTTCTTAGGTCATGTATGTAAGACTAGTGCCTTTGTATTAGTTCTTTGTCACAAAAAGGGAGAGAGAGAGTCCCCAGGGAGCATAAGGTCTTCCTATGTTTCTATCAATTAAAGTTACAGCTCAAAACTAAAGGAAATCAATGGAAAAGTTTCTTTTAATTCACTGGAATTTCAATTAAAGTCCTAAAGTAGTCAAATGGCTATTTTCTTTCAGGTCAGAATTGTAGTTGTTCTGTGTCACTTAAAGATGTGATTAAAACTTCTTTTGTCAGTATTTCTATGTCTTTAGCATAATCAAAATTAGTCCTACTACTACTGATGGTTGAAATGTTGACACTGCATTTCAATCCTAGTTGTGACTGTAGAACAAACAGAACTCTTAAGAAAACAGACAATGCCTTTTTGTTTGCATATCTTGTTTTACTTCTATGGAAGCAAAACTGCTTGCAAAATGCCAGTGTTTAGCTCTATCAGTGACACTTGTCCAAGCATACCAATGGCACCAGTGTTGCATCGATGTCACTGAGGATGGATGTGACTACAAGAAACCTTTATTCACTTGCAAAATGCAGAGCAGGAAAAGCTCCACATGATTTTCAGAGCTCATGTTGAATTTAAGTGGTGTCAGATTTTGGAGAAAGATGGTGTCTCACAGATAGTTACAGTGTTTGTGATATGGGAAACAATCGTTGACTGAACAAAATCACAAATAGGCAGCACTGATGAGGATACTTACAGAAGACACAGAATGAATTACAGGTAGCTCAAAGTCAAAATTTTGAAATATGTGGGTTTAGAAGCCAAGTTGATGTAATGCTCTGAAGTGCCTTACTTTGAATAAAAAATGTTTCAGCTATTGGATTTATTAGCTGCAATCAGAGTGAATAAAATAAATTTCGTCTGCCATAAGTAGTGTCTTTCCAAATACAGCTGAAAAACAACAGCAGGTGCAAAAAAAAGTAGAAATCTCCTTGATACTTGACCAAACAGATGGGTCAGTTATTGTGCTCCACAAGAGGAAAAGTAGGCACAAATTAGTTTGAAAATATATCAGTGATAATAAAAAATTAATAAATGGGGATGTCAATGTTAATATTTTTATTGACAGTAATACTAATTTTTAACTTCCTTAAAAATACTGCGCATAAGAAAAGCTTTGGTGTATTGGCTCTTTTGTGTCTGAAAGGCAAATTTGCATATATGATCCAGAACAATTTTTCCTACTTCTGCCTTGCTCATATTTGCATTAGTGAGCCAGCAGGAGGGGTTTATTAAAGACTGTGTAAGATTCATTAACACTCCTGCTGTTAATTGGCACTTCTTTTACATCATTGCAGACTTGGAAGCTCTACTCCCCAGCAGGCCTGACATCATCTGTTTCAGTTTCTGTGTAGCCTTCCTTTCTTTTTGTGTGGGGAGTGACAAAATGTTGGCCAAGCTGCCTTTCTTCTCCCAGAAGATGCTGGCTCTGATAGCAGTTGTGTTCCAAGCATGCTGCAGCTTGTTGACTGTGTCTGCCTTGATTAGCTTCACCAGAATTTTGGAATACAATGACTTGTTCAATATTCATCTAGTGAGTTGCATGCAGGAGTTTTAATTTTAACCCAGAGACCCACAATAGTGTTTTAGGAATGTGAAGATAAACAGTACCAAAATCTTTGCTCTGCAGAAATGAAGACTTGACATCTACAGTAACATTATGATACTTTAGCTTGCATTTTGTCAGTGCTAAGAAAAGTCCATACATTTTCTTATTTGGGGCAGTTAAGTTTTTGCTAGAGTGCTTTCACCTTACAATATTGCCACTGCAATTCAGTTATAATGAAGGCTGCATAGTTGTCATGGGCAGTTACTTGTGGAGTTCAGAGTCTCCAACAAATCCATCATCCTGTAGGCCAGAATACTAAGTCTCTTTCCTACTCATGGGCCTTTAGATGTGACTCTGCATCCTCTTCCATCACACAATTGTGCCAAAACTGAGTCAGACAGAACCAGCACAGGACAAGGAGGGTCCCAGTACCGCATCAATGCTCAGCTGGCTGATCTCAGTGTTGTTCAAGACTTTTCATTGAACATACACCCATTTTTTGAGCAAGGAAAGTGTTTGTAACAAATTGAGCTCTTGAAGTCCTCTGAGAGTGGAGAATAAACACAAGGCTTTCAGTACCTTTGCACTGCATGAAGGTGGTAGCTGAAAAATGTCACTAGTGTCTGCTTTTTCTGAAATCTTATGAAGAGATTTTGAGTTTCAAGTTTATAGTAAACCCCATTTCTTGCAAATATGGAATTCTGAGAGGAAGAGATGAGTGGGAAGTAGATTCAACTGTTCTTTAAGAAATACCCACAGGAGCCTAAAACATATAATCAGTCTTTTAATTGCACTAATGAGGATTTTTCTGGCTCTTGTACAAGTATTTCTGGAGAGCAAGATATGTATTTTTGCCAGTTGAAAATATCTAAGATTTCAGTGTTGACATAAATCTGTGTTTATCCAAGACATGTTAAACAATTGCTTCATGACCATGAAGTAGATCATTCACAATAACAACCATCTTGGAAGTATAAATCTTCATATACCGAGTTTTCAGATAAGATCTCCATGTCCTCACAGTAGATTTTACCACATACCATAGCCAGAGATTTCTGAATTCTTCCTTTTTTTCCCCTGGTTTTATGTGCTTTTCATTTTCTAAAATATTATTCCTTAAATATTCATATAAGCTTGTTCATGTTTGATGTTTGTCCAATTACTGTAATATTGTATTTTAGGTCTAGAACTCCTTATTTCTTCCTTTATTCATAGCTTCAGATGTTTTTCACCTCATCAAAGAACAGGAAGTTTATCTTTTGTGTTCTAGCCACAGTTTATACATCCAGGTCTCCAGTCTGATACAGATGATGTTTATAGCATGGTCTGAGTACAGACTTCATTTATGACAGTTGCTTTTAAAAGCATGGAAAGACAGATGACTGGCAATACTTACAATTTGGAGTCTAGGCAGGAAAACAGGAATAAAACCAGCAAGGGCTGATCAGACCTTTTTTGAATTGCATGTGCAATTTTAGCAGGTCATGTTGATGGTGTCTTTTTCTCTTTCTTGCATTTTTTTCCCCCATTCACATGGGGAAAGACCAGATGTGGGGAAAGGTTAGATTTCAGAAAAATATTAAGTTGTTTTTAAGCAGCACAGCTAGCCATCTGCCCTCCCTCCAAGACTGGCAAAGAAAATGCAAGAATGTCATTTGTGAGATGTGCCTGTAACTTTTGCAGTGTGGCTTCAGGTTTCCTTTGAAGGGATCATGGCATACCTTGTAGGCTACATAGCGAAACTATCAGCACAAGAGAAGACCAAAATTCATCTTAATTCCAAAGTAACAGGAAATATCTCTCTGAAGAATGAATTGAGGAAAACAAAATTCTATTTTTTTAAGATAGAATTCTGAGTAGTATCTTTTTCCTGCAGTCACAGCTTCGAAAAGACTTTACGTATACCAAAGTATTTCTTCTGAAAATTATTAGTTAAAAGAATGCACAATATGTGGGAAATGTTTTCCATCAGACATAATTAGGTGGTTTTTTACTACATCTTGGTTATTTTATGTAGTGAGCTGCTAGTCAGTTGGGAATACTAATAGTAGCAATTAACTGCAATTACTTAGATCGCTCTACACTAGCTAGGAAAATACTTTTAATTGCTGTTTAGATTTTTAACTTTATGTCAGGAGCTGTTTTCCCCTTTGTTTTTTCTTCCAAAGGTGATGACTTTTCTGGTTAAATATTAATCTAATATATAATGGAATAAACCACTTAAAAGAAATATTTATTACTTAGCAAAAATCAGGTTCAAAATTTGCATAGTTAGGAGGACTAGGATAGTATTGGGATTAATTAAACAAAAATGACCCTGCAACCAGATATTAATGGAGTGATTCTCATTTGTGCTATGTCCCCTTGTGGTACATGCAAAACTCATCCTGTATCTTTGTCAGATTTCCAAGATATGTGTCTCTCAGAGTGGAGTTAACTTCTTAAGCTTTCTCTGATGTTCAAATTGATCCTAACAAATCCCATCTCTAGCAAGATAATCTGTGCCCATGTCCCCTTGAGCTGCTTCACCCCAAAATCATGAGTGGATCAGGGAGCTGCTGCAGCTGGAGACAAGGCACTGGGCTGCACAGACACTTACTTGTTTTGAACCAGGATAGTCAGTCTTGTGTTTAAATGCATCTGCAGTATAATCACTATACATTTGTGAATGGCTTTTTATAAATGGGGAATCACAGTTCTGTAAATCCTGCTCTAAAACTGCTCTTAGTGCTACCAAACTTGGACTTGCCTTGTAGTGTTGGGGTTTTTTTTAATTCTCTCTGACCCTGGAAGTTTTAATTGTCTGGCAAATGGAATGAAACAGGGCATCCCTGAAAAACACATAAAGCTCATTCTGCCTCAGGGGAATATTTCTGAGGGAACCAATTTAAATTGAGAAGTGGTCTGGGAGGAAGGCTGATCTGGGAGGAAGGGCAGAGGAAGGTGGAAGAGAGATTCAGAACTTTCATGACTCTCTGTTTTACTTTAGCAGTTTTGAGGCTATGATGTGCCAAACTGGAAACAGCCAGCCAGTAAGATTCTTCATCCCAAAATGATCCTGTTTTTGGTATATGGTATGAAAAATCCCTTATAACCATTAATAAACATCTCATTTTAGACAAACCAAAAAGTCAGCTGCAGCCTTAAAAGTCAAGCAAAATGAAAATAAAGATCGAGTGCTGATAATACACCCATTTTCAAACAAATTAAGTACAGAAATATGCAGTAATACTCTCACTCTAATGCTTCAGGCTTATCTTGTGCTGCTACTACAGCTGATGATTTACTTTCTCTGATGTTAAATGAGCTAAAAACCTGTTATTGCCTCAGCCAACAACAGGGAGATACCTTCAGTGATTTACCTGGGAGTACAAAGGGTTGGGCATTTTTCCTGTGCTAAAGAATACACTACTCAGTGATTACTGCTTTGGACAACATCTGTGCTTTTAGTTACACTGCTTCCAGCAGCAGGCATTTGCTTGGAACATATCCTTTTGTATGGTGAGTGTCAAACATCAAACGTTTCAATGTCTGTGGATCCCATGGAGCAAAGATAGACATTGATATGTGCCTGCACACATCCTCACTTTGTAGCTTTGTAGCCAAACCATGGGGTGTTCAGCTTTCAGCTTGTATATCTTACCAGTACAGAAGAAAATAACATTTTCTTCCCTTTTGCTTCTCCAAAACAAATTGAAAAGTAAGCCCACATTTTTTTCAAACAGGTTTTCAAAGAGTCAAGAGCTAAATTTACCCTTAAAGGGTTTGTACAGCCTGCAAAAATACCAAAAAGAATGCATGAACATGAATTCATTGCCAGTTTAATTCTTGGTTGAATTAATCTGAGGACTTTGCTTAGACAACAGTTAGCTTTGTTGTGCTTTGTTATGAGTGGAAAGATAGTTTGAAATTTCCAGTTCAGGGTCTAATTAAGAAGGCTACAAATATAGTTTCAAAGCAATTAACCTTCACTGACTCTTCATGTCTCTTACAGTGTGAATGTAAGAGCAATATTTCCACAGTGACATTTTTTAAAGGGACTTTAATTAAGGATCAGCTCTGAAACCTTTCCTGCCAGAAGTACTCTCATTATCTTCATTGGGATTTTCCTTTTGAGTAAGGACAGCTCACACAGATAAGAGTTACAGGACCAGACTAATGATTATAGCTATTGTGGAACAAATCACTGGCTTTAGGTACCTATACATTAACTTCACAGGTAATAAAAATAATAGTTTATTAATCCTTACTCATTTTTTATCTTACAAATGAGGTGACAAAGTGATCAAAAGCTTCAATAAAGCTTCTCATATCTGAAGCCTAAACCCTTACCGAGCCTGAAAACACGCAGTATTGCTCTTATGAATATTCAAATCCTTGTGCATATTGAAAATCTAACAGGGGCAGCAGAAACTGAACAGCTGAGGAAACTGTTCCATCTAAAAGCAACAAGGGTTAACAAAATCACTAGAAAGCCTCTGCCTTATGCAGTTTATAGCTCAGTAATGTCTGTTAAATGTATATATGCACCTAGTTTGAAAACGCTGTCAGCTTTGGCCCTTGTGAACTTAAATTTGAAGTGTGAAATTCTTCATAGACTGAGAAAGTCTTTCTCCTCTGAATTCTTCATTGGATGCTGTAGACCATGAAATAGCCTTGATGGCTATTCTGTGACTATGGATATGTCCCTCACATTCAGAAATAAGATAACCTGGAGCACAAAGATTTTTTAGGAAGAAATGCCCATAAAACATGGGAGGAAAGGGTGTTGGTTGACAGGGGTAAGTCCTACACTGAGCTGCCTGATTCTCACCTGGCAAGAACTCCTGTGATTTTTGAGGCAAATTTAAATCTCCCTGATTTATGTCAACCTCTTACTGGGATGTTGTAATACGGAGTTACAACCACCTGAGATATTCTCAAAACTTTCAATGCCTTCCAGTCATGTCTGCCTACTTTTGTTTCCACTGCCAGAGGTCCCTGCTCCCTTGGTTATGGTGACATTGCTCTTTCTGGGGCTACTCTACAGGCAATTTCACAGCAAATACCTGAGTATTTCAGTTAAGCAAACGAAAAAAATCCTACAATTTTTATATTCAAAAATATGTGAGGATTATTTTTAACCTTTACCACATATAATTCTATCCCAAAATAATGATATTGTTAGAGATAGTCAGGACATCCAGTGGATTCATTTTGGCACACCTTTTTTACCTTCTCTTCTTCACCCATATCTTCATGAGAAGTACTGTAGTCATACATAAAAAATATAGAAAGCTATATATTTTGTAGTTTTCAGTGGATTATCTAAAAGTGATGCTTATCATAATATATATTCAAATGTCTTTGATCTTTCTCCAGACTTCTCCTTGTAAATCTTTGTTAGAGAATGAATACTGTTACTGAGAGCATTTCATCTGGGGAATTATCTCACTTAATCCAGTGTCTTGTGCTTTTGTAGACTTTCAGTGTGCTATAGGAAGTAATGGAACTCAATATCTGCTTTAAACATGCTTCTATATATTGCTGTGCTGCCTTTTGTTTTTATTTTCATGTAGTTTCATCATCCACAACAAAGATACTTTCTTCAATAATGCTACAAGAAGTAGAATTGTACACCATATCTTACAAAGAGTGAAATATGAAGAAGGGAAAAACAAAATTGGTAAGTACTGAGCAGCATGCTTTTAAACGTGGGCTTAAAAAAGTGAGGAGTCTGGGCTCATAACACACTCTTTTTCTTCCCTTTTAATCTCCTCAGTTTTGAGCTGTTTACATCTCACCCACTGCTGTTGTAGGGGCATTGCCTGGAAGATGTGATCATCCCCCTGTAGTATCAAACAGCTTTCACAGGCACATGTCATCACATGGGATTTATCACCTCTGCATAGGAAAGGCTGATTTAAACAAGAAATCTTAACAGATTATGGACAGTGGAAAAGCAGATAGACTTATGCAGAAAAACTTTTACTGCTTCATAAAACTGTATGTGGAAGGATGACAATATTTGTGCTGCTGTACATCCCAGTCTGTAGGATCTCTCCCTGTATACCTGTCCATCCTGAAGAGTGATGGAAGGTTCTTTATCTCTGTATTTGCTGTAAAAGAGAGTTCACCATTGATGTCCTCAGTGCAAAGAATGCCATGCATAGCTGTGGCATGACTTTCAAATAGTGAGTGGAGTGGAGGTCCAGGAGAGCAGGCAGTGACAGAGGGGCAGAATACAGAAGAGTGGCCACCTTCTGTCTGGATACAGAGCACATACTGCTTGAGTAGCACATAGCAACTGTGGCATCATAAATGGAGAGGCAGTCCCCATAAAACTCTGCAGCCTATTTCATTTGCCTTCTGTTTAAACCTTAACTTTCCTCAAGAGAAAGAGAAATATCCCAGAACTTTACTTTTTTCTATCTCAGCTCCTGGGATGAGGGCAGCAATAGCTCTAAGCAGAGCAGCCATTGCATCTGACACACTCTTGCAGTCCCTGCCTACCTCCAGATCAGTCTCCCTCACTCATCAACTTGTGTCATACCTACAGTGGACACAGTCTTGCACTGATCACTGGGCAGAGCAAAGCCCAGATCAACCATACAAATTTTACTTTTCTGCCAGAGACTTTGGAAGAAAGCATGTTCTGCCAAGCAGATAGTGGTGCTACCACTGGAAGTGCAATTTATTTTGAATTAAGAATTCCCACTTCTGTGTTCTGTAAATTCCCTGTTAATTAGGATTGGAATCAGGACTCTATGCCTCTTGGTCAATGGGCTTCAAATGCCTTCAGGCTGCTAGTGTTGGTATTTTGTTTTGCATTGTCTGGTGACAGTTCAATCCTATTTTTGTGACTTTCCAAGTGAAAAGTGTCCACATCTCAGCAAACATGATTATTTCTCTTCAGGCTCTCATTAAAGAGGGATAAGACCTGAGTGAGTGGGGTGTGTGCTAACTTTTTTGTACCACATAAGAATCTTTTTTGTTGAGGTTCCTGTATATTTCTGGTCTTGTACTGCTGCAGCCTGTCTTGTTCCTGTTCTGTTTGTTCAGCAACTTTCGTAAGATATAAACTGAACATATTTTAAAAAGTAGTTATCATATGGAAACTAAAAGCTTCAGTTGCTTTAGTGGCCTGCAGTTCAAAACTGTAAAGATCTTCCCTGAAGTTTTTACCTTCCAAAATATGCAGCCTTTCATTTAAATAGCTTTCTTAGGCCATATTTTATGAGGTCAAACTTCAATCCAATCAGTGAGGTCTCCAGTTTCACTGAAGCTACACTAAAGGTGGACTTGGCAAATGAATCTTTAAACCTCTAGCATAATAAATTATAGATTCTGATTAATATTTGAACAAGTCTTTGCTCAAATTATATTTTATTATCAAAATCTATACAAGATTAATTTTTTTGCATGTATCTTGTACTGTCAATGGACTTCAACCTTAATTTAGCCAGTTTATTATGAAAATGTGTTTTGCTTTTTACTTAGCAGTTTTTCTGCTCCTGTTGGTAAATAATTGAATACTTTTGATTTTTAGGTTTGAATCGATTGCTCAGTAACGGATCCTATGAAGCTGCATTTCCTCTTCATGAGGTATTTTTCTCAGGATTTTGTGGTTTCTTTGAACAGACATTTCCCACAAAATGAATTCTTAATTGTGTAATAATCAATTCTCAATCTTATTAATGTTATTACTCTTACATTCTGTGTCTGCCTCTGACATCCCTCCCATCTAGCAATGCTTTTTCCCAGGGAAAAAAGAAAATGGGGTTTTTTCCTTGCAAAAAGTGATGAGTAAGGAGGGCTGTTCTGGACTTATTATGTAAAAAGTATTTGAGTTGGATAAATCAGTGTGTTTTCAGAGGGGAAAAAATCATGCTCTAGGATTTTTTATTTTATTTGAGATTCTACAGTTTATAGCCTTGGACTTGAATACCTATTATAAATTTCTTAGGAAGAATAATCCCAAATCTTAGCTAAGTCAGATGAAATTGAGTGGTTTATGTCATGCTTATCTTTTGGCGCACAAACATGGAGTTTGCATAAAATGTGTTATCCATACGGCTAGTAAGACAGATTCCTTAAGTGTTTTTTTTTTGCTGCTGTTGTTCATTAATGTCCAGATTTGTATTTTAGGGAGGTTACAGAAGCAAGAATTCAATAAAAACCCATGGGGCAGAAAACCACAGACACCTGCTCTATGAGTGCTGGGCTTCCTGGGGAGTGTGGTATAAATACCAACCACTGGATCTTGTCAGGTAAGATTTACCTGCTTTTAGTATGTCATGTTATACGTGCTTTGGGCATATGTTATCTTGCTTCTGACAAAATCATGAAAAGCTCAGTTAATTCATGTGGTTTTTAAAAATTGATCCTGAGGTCATGGGAATCCATTTTGTTCATAGTGCCACTACATTAAAATAAATATCTATAGAGGGGGTTGTGGGAAAGCCCAGATTAAATCAAGTTTCTTTCTAGGGTTTTCTGACACCATAACTTCTAATGAAGTGTTTGAAGAATATTTAGGAGAGAAAAGAAAAAGGAATAGAGAAATCCATGGAGGCTGAATATACTTGGCTACATGTCTGTTACTGCAGGAGTTCTTCTTCCTCAGAGCATGGCTTTGGTGAAAAACAGGCCCTCGTTGACTAGATCTTCTTTTTCCAAAAAAGCAGCCACAGAATGAGTCCTGGATGAAGTTTCATGACGCTTACAAATAGCACAGAGCAGAGCTTAATAGTCACTGAGTGTACTGCTGCGATAGATGGGTGAAAGTCTCCTCTGTACCACAGCCCTTCAACTCAGAGCAGCTACTTCGTCACTGTCTGTATTTGTATTCATCTTGGAAGTAGCCTGCAAAGAAAAAGCCACTGGGAAATCTGAAATGGGATTCCAAATTCTTACAGTCCTTTTAAATAATTTTTTCAAATAGGCTTCCATGCACTAATAGAGGATTACATATTTTTTATGCATAGAGAGAGAATCAGGGCCTTTACTGGTCATAGTTGTCAGAAATATTAATGAGCTTTTTCTACTTGAAGAGAGGAGTATGGAGCTACAAGGACCTATTAATAAAGACTTTATTAATACTGGGACCACTGAAGATATTGATACATTGGCCATTGGGAAGGGTCATCCAGAGCATGCAATTAATTGGTCCAGCAAATTAATTTCCCCTTTCAGAAGTCCTGTAACTGATAGAAACCTTTGCTTTTATTTATTCTCAAAATTGTTTCCAGATGAAAGATTTGTAGAGGGTAGCCCTGGAGACAGACAGTGTTATTGATTAAGGCCATATAAAACCTATCCATTTCATAAAACAAACGTATTCAATTTCCAAGTTCACAGAGAAAGACAATAAAAAGTTTGAGCGAGTCACATAATTTTTAATGCTTTGCAAAGTAAAGTAATGTATTATACCTCATAATTTAATCCTGTAAGCTTCTTATTTCTTTTTTAATACACCAGATAGACAAATGGAATTTTTGTGAACTTACACAATGGAAATTGCTGATTTATGGAGGAGCCAACTGTTATAATGAAGGGGGTTTTTGCTTTTAATCTCACAATATACAACAATATATTAATATCACGGTATAAATTACTTATCTCTATAGTGGTTTTTTTATCATTTGTCCATGATGGTCAAGGCTACTGTTCTTCATCAACATTTCTTTTTTGTGAAAGTGCTGTTGAGGCAATATCTGGGGTTTGGTTTAATTTGACGATCAGGCATCTGAAAGATTTTTGTAAGTATGAGCATAAGTGGTAACAAAATGAGATTTTCCAAATCTATTCTACAGAAAAAAAAAAAGGGCAATCAAAATAGCAGACCCTCTAGATGAGGTCATGAGTGTTCTGTGTTGTTCAGAGTAGGTGCTTACTGAAAGAGGAGGGAGCAGGGGGATTTATGAAGTTCCCTGAACACTGACAGCAGCCTGAGTCTTGGAAGCCATCAAGCTCAGCAGGGTTCAAAACCGCAACCCCAGCCCAACCTGCCATTTGCTGCCTGGAGTGCATCCATAGCTGTGAGGAATTCACTGAAGGAAGGGTGACAGGAAAGTGGAGGGAATGCCTTTTTCTTCTCACTTCACAGATGCTGGATTACTCGCATTT